TTTTTTTTTTTTTGTTGTTGTGCCTTCATTATTTCGAGAAGTATTCGAAGAAGAAATTGCAAATCTGAAGCAATAGTCAAAACGGGACAACAGATCAGCAACAACAAACAAGTCATCAACGACAACATCACTGACAACCAACAAACAAACAGAGTACCGTAGAACAAGTTGTATTAACGAGGAAGAATCTGAAGAAGAGAAAGAAGAAGTAACTATAACGACGATAGTAACTGTATTTTTTTGGTAGTCTGCTAAAGAATACTTCAAAAACACTGCTGAACTGTGATTAAGCAGTTGAGTGCTGGAAATGGAAAAGTTTGACAATCACTGCGTGGAACTGAATGATTATTTACGTGGCTATGGGGACCTGTCGACGGAGCCGATAACTGCATATATTTTTGGAATTTTTTATATGCTAATTATTATTGCCGGAATTTTAGGCAATACATGCGTTATTCTGGCTGTAATCAAATTTCGGTGAGCATAACTGATCCTTTTGCATAAGCTTTTAGCATTAACTTATCTTGACGTTCTTTTAATTAGGCAATCCTAAAATCAGATGCTGAGAACGACAAAACATTAACGTTATTGAAAAGAAAAGAATAAACTGTAAATATCAAACCATAAAATTTTGTAAAATATCAAAAATTTTTTTTTCAGGTCTTTACAAACAGTGCCAAATATGTTTATATTCTCGTTAAGTTGTTCAGATATTTTAGTTTGTTGCTTTTCGGCAACAATAACACCAATTGCTGCATTTGAAAAACGATGGGTGTTTGGTGCTTTGTTATGCAAATCTGTTCCATTTTTTATGGTAAGTTTTGATTATTTTTTCAGTTAATAATAAAAGAAAAAAACAATTTCTTTTATTTTACTCAATTTTTATTATAAGTCACGAATGATTATAATTGTGAGTAACAGTCTGTTGTTTTCATCTACTTTTTCTCATTATTTTTCTGAAATTCATCGAAAAAAATTAACTGAAACCTTAAAAATGTCAGACACCTTTTTTTTAAAGTTTAATCTTTGATCCAGTAATATATTTTGTCTTCCAATCACCATTACAAAAAAGATCATAGTTTTTTGTCTTACCTCTCTTTTCTCCTCCCCACTTCCTAACCTTATTTTTATTTTGTCCGGCTGACTTAAGAGAGCAAAACAAGCTGTGATAACAACGATGATTGGAGGAAAGTTATATTTGTATCAGTAAATTAGAAGAGCAAAAGTATAGGGACCAAAAGTGCACAGCAGTGACTTTTTGATGCTTAAGCGCATAAGTTTGTTGATCTTGACGTATCTTTCTGTTACAAAAATTTAAATCACTAATCGTAAACATCTGAAAAATCAGCAGAAAAATTGGTAAAAATATGATTTCAACTATCACTAATACTAGATACAACAACGAAGAATCTATTGAATCTAAACAATGATCAAATGGCAGAAGTTAGCTTCTACCTTCGTATACAGTTAGGCCTCAGTCAGTGGGCCTTAATAGTTAAGAAGCGATATATTCAGATCAGCTTTGTTAGTGGCAGCTCTGCACCATACCACCGTACAACAAAATTGGTATACTGCTGCATCTGATAGCAAAAGTAACAATTAGAATTCTTTTGTTGTTAAAATAACAGCACAAAATTTATTTATTTATTTATTTTTTTTTTTTT